GTCTATAATTTGCCCCTCTTTCTTTCATGTTCTAGCCATACTGCCTTCCTCTGTCCCTCAAATATACCAAGTTCATTTTCTTCTCGGGGCTCTGCATGTGCTATTCTGTGTTTTTGGGTTGCTTTTCTGTAGGTTATTTGCATGTTTCCTTCTCTTCACTGAGGCTTTGGCTCACGTCATTGCTTCAGGAGGCTGTCTGTGGGCATCTAGCGAAATAGCATTCCTTCTCTTTCTCCCCTCTCCCTGTTATGTTCTCTTTTGTGGGTTACTTTATTCACCTTACTTGTATTTTTTTAAATTAATTAAATAAAAATTACTGTAGTAAAATAAATGTAACAAAAAATTTGCCATTTAACCATTTTCAGGTGTATAATTTAGTTAAATTAATTATATTCACTATGTTGTGCAGTCACCACCACCATCTATTTCTAAATGTTTCTCATTACCCTAGACAGAAACTCAGTACCCCTTAACTAACAACTTCTCACTCCCTACCCCCCATCCTCTGGTAAGCACTAATAAACTTTTGTCTCTATGAAATTGACTGGGTTGGTGTTACCACAGTGCATAAGTGGAGAGACTAAGGCCTGCGAGTGATGGGCTACAACAAACAGGCCAGGGTCTGGAGTGGAGTGTTGACATGCTCATCCTTGGTGCAGCGCATCTCCTTGCCTCTTGTTCCCCTGTTGCCATCCTGCCACAGCAGAGCTACACATTCTTTGTTCACTGTTTTTCTCTATATTCATAAAATGAATAGGTTATATAGATGAATGGGCTGTTCCTAGAGTATTTATGAGGGTTAGAAGAATAAATTAACTCTTTCTAACCATTCAGTGGTACATTGGGATACTAATTTTCTAAATAGTACTTTTGTGGTCTGGAAGAAGTAATTAACTGACTCAAGTGCCTACTTTCAATGAGTGAATTAATTACCCTGCTATTTCTAGCTCAGTGTTTATTAGGTAGATTCACCGATTCATCATTTCAGCCTCTGTTTTAAATTTTGGACTGTCAAGGTACTTTTTCTGAAAGTTTTTTAACTTTCTGGAAATTTTTATCCTTAAAAAATATTACAGTCAGAAAGCTTTATGCAAAAAAAGTGCTCCTTGATAAAATGTAGGACGGGGATGGTTTTTCCACTTAGTCTCTTCCGATTTTGAGATAAACTCTTTAGGAGACTGTCATGAAATTATTTCCTATGTTTTTGTTAATCTGAGTAACTTCCAACATATGAGAAAATAATTTGTTTTTATAAATAAGAAAGAACACTTGATTGAACTTTTTTCCAGTGTGCTATAACCATAGTTTTCACTCTTTCTTTCTCAATGAAAATTTGTTCAGAATATCCTTTATATTTCTTTAATTGCATATATTGTTTGAAAATCCATTGAGGATATGTTTTCTTATAGCCTGCAGATAACTTGGTTACCTAACCTCCTCTTCCTTTCGTTTCCTCTTTCCTTAGGTTTGTTTAGCACTGGCAGAGTAAGTAATTATTATAAATTTTTTTTTTTTTTTTTTAGGTTCCCATCCTTAGTAAAAAAGAGGATGTTTTTGCATATTTAGCTAAATATTCAGTGCCAATGGTCCGAGCAACATGGCTGATCAAGATGACATGTGCCTATTATTCTGCTATTTCTGAAGCTAAAATTAAGAAACGTCAGGCTACTGATCCCAATTTGGGTAAGTGAGGCACTACAATACATTTTACATTTCCTTTTTGATTCTGTAAGTTACTGTTACCAGTATAGTGAGTACTGAGACGGTACATGCTGAGAATAAAAGTAACTCATGGGGTGGATGGAAGAGCTCATCCTTGGTCATGTGGGCCCAGAATCCTGACTCCATCAGCAGGTTCTAAAGGTAGTACCTCCAAAATGTATCCTTCATCAGAACACTTTTTACATCACAACTTCTGGTTCAGGCCACCAACTTCTGGTTCAATCTCTTGTCTGGCTACAGTGGCAGCCCCCTACAGCTTTTACTTTGCTCCTTATTTTCTAGTCTACACATAACTGCTCAACTGATCTGTGTGCCTAAATCAGATCATATCATGTCCCCATTTATAACTTTGCAATAATTTATTAAAATTAGAATAAAAATCCAGACTCTGTCCTATAACCATTGAGGCCGTCTATAATTTGCCCCTCTTTCTTTCATGTTCTAGCCATACTGCCTTCCTCTGTCCCTCAAATATACCAAGTTCATTTTCTTCTCGGGGCTCTGCATGTGCTATTCTGTGTTTTTGGGTTGCTTTTCTGTAGGTTATTTGCATGTTTCCTTCTCTTCACTGAGGCTTTGGCTCACGTCATTGCTTCAGGAGGCTGTCTGTGGGCATCTAGCGAAATAGCATTCCTTCTCTTTCTCCCCTCTCCCTGTTATGTTCTCTTTTGTGGGTTACTTTATTCACCTTACTTGTATTTTTTTAAATTAATTAAATAAAAATTACTGTAGTAAAATAAATGTAACAAAAAATTTGCCATTTAACCATTTTCAGGTGTATAATTTAGTTAAATTAATTATATTCACTATGTTGTGCAGTCACCACCACCATCTATTTCTAAATGTTTCTCATTACCCTAGACAGAAACTCAGTACCCCTTAACTAACAACTTCTCACTCCCTACCCCCCATCCTCTGGTAAGCACTAATAAACTTTTGTCTCTATGAATTTGCCTTGTATTTTATATAAGTACTCACAGCACTTTTCACTGTTTGAAATTATCTTTAAAAAATGTACTTGTATGTACATTACTCATCCTTTTCTTGTCCCCCAGCAGCCCCATACACTAAAATAAAAGACATGTAAGGGTGAGGGTCTTTGCCTATCTTACTTACCACCAAATCCCCAAGGTCTGGAATTAGGCAGGCCCATGGTAGATATGGGAACTTTGGTGGTGTGGTGCCTAAGGCATTTGACTGCTAACCAGAAGGCTGATAGTTCAAACCCACCAGCCACTCCTCCGAAGGAATGTTGGGCAATCTACTTCCGTAGAGATACTGCTTTGGAAACCCAAGGGGCCGTTGCTAGAAGGCTCAATTGACTTGACGTCAGTGAGGTTTTTTTTTTTTTTTTTAAATGGTAGCTCAGGTAGCGTAGTGCCTAAGGCACTTGATTGCTAACCAGAAGGCTGGAGTTTCAAACCTACCAACCATTCCTAGGAAGGAAAGTTGGGCAATCTTCTTCGGTAGTGATGCCGCCTCAGAAACCCGAGGCGGGGTCGCTATGAGTTGGGTCCGACTCGACAGTACATAACAACAACAACAAGGTATTTGTTGAACAAACTGAGAGGAAACTAGTTAGTCTTCATTCTTGGTGATTAGACAATGGCTTTTTTTTTTTTTTTTGGAGTTAAACATCTTTTGTTTATTAGTACTACAGGTATTTTTTCTGAAGAGTTATTCTTAATCGTATATTATTGTTGAAAGTTGTACGTAAAGGTGAAAGTAGTCTGAAGTAGCTACTGTTGGATATGTACATCTGTTTTGGTTACCTAGTGTCGCTCTGACAGTAATATACCACTAATGGGATGGCCTTAACAAACAGGAGTTTATTCTCTTACAGTTTGGAGGGTTTAAGTCTGAGTTCAAAGTGCCAGGCTCTAGGGGCTGGGTAAAAGCCCCTCGACCTTGGGCTTCAGCTCTACCTCCTGCTCCTGGCCCACTGAGGCTTTTCTTCACTCAGCTGCTGGCTGCTGAGACTGACGAGCCCAAGGTTGACAGTAAAAAGGCACAGTCCTGATGCTATCAAATCACAGGGCCAGCCATTAGTTAAAGTCCATTGAAAATCTCAAGGTCAGCAGAGCATGGCAGACTGCTGAACAATGACACAGCTACATGCAGGGTTCAAGCGTGCAGTAAGAACCCCAAGGGTTCTTCTTATATACAGGAAGCAGACCACATCCGTAAGGCAGCTGCTCAGCTGCTCCAATAGATTCCACCATGGGGAATAACTCCATTCAGCTGCCCAGCCACTCAGCCAGGCCCAGCCAAGTTGACACACAAACTTAACTACTACAAACACCCTAATTGAATATATATATATATTTTTTTTTTTTGGTGATTTGGGTGCAGATTCACAAAACAGATTTGTTTTACTCTCAACAGTTCATGCACATTTGCTTTCATGGCCCTGATTACAATCCCCAACAGTAAAAAACTCTCCTCCCCTCTCCT